GCACAGTGAACTGGATTAATTGCTATACTATAGCCTTGTATTCATGTCTGTTAGTTTATTGCATTCATATGAACTCCTTTACCTGTTCATCGATTTTTATGAATTTGCCACTTATTTTGTCTTGTGATAATATACTGACTTCATTCACAACTATTATCTTGGTACCTATTTCCTATATGCTATTATAGTTGTGACTGGTACACTAATGCCTGAGCTCATAGGTGTTTGAAGAATCTCAGGGCCTAACCAGGTGCGTCAGAGGGGACAAAGTAGTTTTCATAGTCATGGCAAAGAAGAGAGAACCTGTCATACGAATCGGCTCCTCTGGGGTAAGCGTTACACCCATATTTAGGGAGTGACATATAACATGGTACAAGCAGACCCACCCCCATAAAGGCCTTCTCTGGCAACATGTGGAGTTCTTCTTCACCCCCATTTTCTTGTGGTTCTCAATAGACCTTGAGTGTGGTGATCCCTGGACCTATAGTCCAATGACACTTCTTCCAAATCACCAACTAAAAGCCCATACCTTACTACGGACATATAGCTGGAGAAGGAGTCTTCAGGAGCTCAACATTGTACCCACCACCCATTGATCATGGAGCACTACACCCATATCTGGGGTGTGACATATTACATGGGGCCAAGCAGACCCACCCCACCACGATAAAGCCCCCTCTGACAGCGTAGGGAGGTTCTTCTCCCCCCATTCTCTTGTGGTTCTCAATAGACCTTGAGTGTGGTGATCCCTGCCCTTGTGGTCCAATGACACTTCCTCCAACTCTCCAACTGAAAGCCTGTAGACATAGAGCTGGAGGAAGAGTCTGCAGGAGCCTGACATTGTACACACCATCCACTGATCATGGAGCACTACACCCATATCTGACATATAACATGGGGCCAAGCAGACCCACCCCACCGCCATAAAACCCCCTCTGACAGCGTGGGGAGGTTCTTCTCCCCCCATTCTCTTGTGGTTCTCAATAGACCTTGAGTGTGGTGATCCCTGCCCTTGTAGTCCAATGACACTTCCTCCAAATCTCCAACTGAAAGCCTGTAGACATAGAGCTGGAGGAAGAGTCTGCAGGAGCCTGACATTGTACACACCATCCACTGATCATGGAGCACTACACTCATATTTAGGGTTATGACAGCGAAATGCAGATTAACACCACCCCCAGAAAGGCCCCCCCCTGACAGCATGTGGAGGTTCTGCTTCCCACAATTTCTTGTGGTTCTCAATGGAACTCGAGTGTGGTAATCGCTGAATTCGTAGTCCATTGACACTTCCTCCAACTCTCCAAGTGAAATCCCAGACATAGAGCTGGAGGAAGAGCCTGCAGGAGCCTGGCATCACACTCACCATCGTGGTTCGAATGTTTTTCAGACTCACTTGTAAAAAAATGTGTGCGTTTATAATAAAAAATTTTTTTTTTTTTGCAAAAGGTGCATGCACATATTCAGAATGCACTAGCACACTCATTCCTGAGCTGATGAGACCATGCATCCAATGGGGCCATCCTGGGACTGGGTCGCCACTCCAGAAGATTTTCAGGCAGGCTGGGGAGAGGCTGCACGCACCTACAGGTATGCCATGGAAATTAAGCATCTTTTAAAAAACATAGGTCATTTTTTTTGGGGGGAAATGTGATGTAAAAGTGGTCTAACCCTTTAAAGACATCTTATGTTTATAACTAAAGCTGAACTGAATAAATGTTCAATGGCCAAAGCCAATAAGAGAACTTGAATCAAGTGACGTCATTCTGCCTAACAACGGCATTTATTGTATGGTAAGCCGGGTACAGAGCAGCTACAGTCTAACTGTACAATTGACTGCGGACCCTGCATTGGGAGAAAGTACAATTAATTCATTTTACTTATAAAAATAAATACATAGAAGACAAAAACACTAAAAGAGAGCGAGGTGGTCAACCTTCTACCGGATCTAAGTAGGTGGGGCCAGACTGGAATCATTTGCATGTTTTTAAGATGTGGGGAACAAGCTAAATATTTCTTCTTGAGCACAGAAATTGCAATGAAGATTCACTACAGTGCTAACCGGGAACCGGATAGACCCGTAGACTGGGAAGATAACTGGGGTGACATAAAGCACTGAATCTCCTGTGTTCTCCATCACAGTCACCGGGAAAATATTGGAGGGTCACATCTTTAGGTGTTTTCCAACCTGCTAAAATAATGTGCATTATCAACAGACTGGCAGCTCCCATTATGAGGTGCCCCTTTAACTTCTGGATGGGTGAAGTCATTGGTTCTCCAGCTGTTGGTCATTTTCATCCAACACCGAGCATCTCATCAGCTAAGACAGTCGCGCCTTATGGTTTTCTTTTTGCTGAATGTATGAAGGGTATTGTGCAAACAATAAGACAAAAGTCTACAGTCTGTGCAGATTTTAGCAATGGTTGGACACTTTCCTAGCAAGCTAACCACTTTGGTTGCGAAGGAATACAAGCTAGTGGGGGGAGATATAAATAGTATTGGGGCCACTGAGGGTTCTCAATCTGCACCCCCTAATTTTGTGCTTTTTTTGTTTAATCATCAAAAACAGTTTTTAACAGGTTCTGCGTCTCTTCTCGGTCTTCTGAGAGGCAGGTCACAGTTCTCCGGAGCTGAGAGGCTGATCGGGGTGGAAGGGCGTATGGATTTTTAGGGCCAAACCCTCTGTAAAAATTCTGTGGAGATCTGTTTGGGAGACACAAAAAAAGGAGAAGATAAAGATGACTGTTGAAAGATGGGATATAAAAAACACTCTTTATAGGATGGGACTGGCAATGGAGCTCAATGTTCTTCTACCTTCCTCTGACCATTGGGAATCTTGCTAGTGACAGCCTACATTGGAAGGATGAGATTGCACTGGCAGGACTGGCAATGGAGCTCAATTGTCCTCTACCTTCTGCCGACCATTGGTTATTTTGCTAGTGACAGCCTACAGTGAAAGGATGAGAAGGCACTTGGCAGGACTGGTACTGGAGCTCAATGTTCCTCTGCCTTCCCCTGACCATTTGAAATCTTGCTAGTGACAGCCTACCCTGAAAGAATGAGATTGCACTGGCAGGACTGGCAATGGAGCTCAATTGTCCTCTACCTTCTCCCAACCATTGGTTATTTTGCTAGTGACAGCCTACAGTGAAAGGATGAGAAGGCACTTGGCAGGACTGGTACTGGAGCTCAATGTTCCTCTGCCTTCCCCTGACCATTTGAAATCTTGCTAGTGACAGCCTACCCTGAAAGAATGAGATGGCATTGGCAGGACTGGCAATGGAGTTCAATGTTCCCTCTACCTTCTCCCAGCCATTGGTAATCTTGCTAGTGACATCCTACATTGGAAGGATGAAATTGCACTGGCAGGACTGGCAATGGAGCTCAATGTTCTGCTACCATCTCCCAGCCATTGGTAATCTTTCTAGTGGTAGCCTACACTGAAATGATGATTTCAGACTGGCAGAACCGGCAATAGAGCTCAATGTACTCTGACCTACATTGACCATTCGGAATCTTGCTAGTGACAGCCTACATTGAAAGGATGAGATGACAATGGCAGGACTGTCATTGGAGCTCAATGTTCCTCTATCTTCCCTTGATCTTTGGGAATCTTGCTAGTGACAGCCTACATTGAAAGGATGAGATGGCAATGCAGGACTGGTATTTGAGCTCAATGTTCCTCTACCTTCCCTTGATCATTGGGAATCTTTCTAGTGACAGCCTACATTGAAAGGATGATATGATATGGCAATGGAAGGACTGGCATTGAAGCTCAATGTTCTTCTACCTTCCCTGACCATTGGAAAACCAAGAGATACAATTAAAAAACAGAAGTACCAGACCAAATGTTGAGAGACCATATAGAAAGTAGGACAGGATTGGCATTTGAGCTCAATGTTCCTCTACCTTCCCCTGACCATTTGTAATCTAGCTAGTGACAGCCTGCATTGGAAGGTTGAGTTGAGTGTCTTCCAGTGACTGTGCAAGGCATCTATGCAGCTACTTCCCAATCGCTATGAGAGATGGAGGTGGGAGGTAGATCCAAATGTAGATTAATCTCCTGGTATAAGGAGATGAACTGTACAAGGTTTCTGGCTGGTAGCTCACAAATGGGCCTCTATGGGATGCTTCAGGTAGAATCTCAGAGGCATTGATAAAACCCGGAGTGTTATACAAATATTGAGAGAATATAAATTGTTTATTTCATAGGGGCCAAGGAACACATTTTTGGGGTTCCAACGGGCCACTTTTATCAGGTCTTAAAAACCCTTTAAAGCTAAAAACAAAAACACTCTTTTGCAGTGGAGCTACCCCATGCTACAAGGGTTAACTTCTTGTTCAGGTCTAGTTCCTCTGGGTTGTAGGACTGGTCTCTGCATCCTCTTCTCCAGTGGTTAGACATCCTCTGATGTCATCAAGGGCAAACCAGACCCCAAAGCCCTGCATTGGACATGAGGACATTGAGGAACAGTCTACACATGGAGCATAGGAGACTAGAGAAGGGACCCCATTGCAAAGGAGGATATTTGCTTTACCCGCAAATGACCTTTAAGCCTTGATGAAAAGGACCCTCAAAACGTATTGTCTTCTGAGCATTTGGTATGTTTCTCCTGTTTTTCTTGAACCTCACTGACATCACTGGCCAGTATAGGCATTATTCACATATTATAATGGGGAAACAGCCATAACTATCCTAAACGAGGATATAGAGGTCCTTATACATTAGAAGACATCTCCCATTCCAGTCATTGTGATCTGGATGAAGGGAAGATAAACGGTCTATGGAGATCCTTCAGATCTGAGAGAACAAGGCTCAGATAGCTTTGAGAAATCTGTTTTATCACTTTTGGTTTCCCCTGAAAGGATGGAGGCTGACGCTTCTGAACCATCATGGCTCTCTGCCTATCTTCCTCATAATGCCTTGTGACTGACCACTCGCTCGCTAAAGAAAATACAAGCAAATATGCTTTCCATACAGGACTTGGATGTTCCATACCTACCTAGAACAGACCACAATCCTTTAGGTTTTCTTTGATGATAATGTCTGTGACCGCGTCAAACACGAACTTGACGTTCTCCGTGTCGGTGGCGCAGGTCATGTGACTGTAGATTTCCTTTACATCTCGTCGCATGTTCAGTTCCAGGAACTGTGTCTTGATATAATTTCCTGCGTCCTCGTATGTGTTGGGACCTGCAACATATCAATGACAATGCAAATTCACCATCTGGCATGGAGGGGCTTGAAATATACCTGTCGTGACATTTAGTAAAACACATTGCTTAAGAGAAACTGGTCACATGACAAATACTAATAAAAGTCAGTGCCGGGCCCCTTGTACTTCCGGGCCCCACAACAGTTGCATGGCCCGCTATAGTTGTACCCATGCTAGTTACCTAAAGTGCCAACAACAAATCTCCTTATCAGAGAATGACCAAAGCAGAGAACCCTTTCCCTGTTTCTTTTTCATGTGATGTCTATAGCTTCAATGTTCAAGCAATATTTAGCCAGGACTATACCAATAATATGTCCACACCAGGGGCGGACTGACAACTCATGGAGCCCCTGGACAATAGGGGATCATGGGGAACCTGTGTCCTTGCCCACACTCAAACCACTCCCAAAAAAGCCTATGAAAGGTACCAGGGGCATCTCATGGGACCCCCTACGGACCCCGGTCCCTCGGGCAGTGCCCGAGTGTCCGAATGGTAAGTCCGCCCCTGGTCCACACCTGTAGACATGTCTCAACAATTCACTGTAGAATGTGCCCATGGATTCCCTGAGTCTTTTTGAATATCTGCAAAGCCCTGAGCAACACACCCTTGGGCCCCAAATCCTCAAATTAGTAAATTTCCCGTTTATACATTTCCCACACAATATTATGTGTGGGAAAAGCGGGCTTTTTTTCCAACAGGAACTCAGAGGAACGCAGTTCCAGCACTTCCAATATTGAATGTGTATAATGGCAAGAGGTGTTGTGTTGGAGGGTCTATTGATGCTGGCTGCTGGGGGATCTATTGTCACTAGTGGGGATCTGTTTCTGCATGGGGGTCTATTGTTACTGGGCAGGTCTAGTGTTACTGGTTAGGATCTATTGTTGGTGGGGGGGGGGGTCTTATGTTGCTTGGAGGGATCTACTGCTGAGAGAGAGGTCTGTTGTTGCTGGCTGCTGGAGGGTCTATTGATGCTGTCTACTGGGAGGTCTGTCGTTGCTGGGGATGGTCTATTACTTTTTTGGGGTGGTATTTTGTTACTGGGGGGTCTATTGTTGCAGGGGTCTATTGTTGTGTGGGAGACCTGTTGTTGCTGAGGGGTTCTATTGTTGCTAGCTGCAAGGGATCTATTTTACTGTTTTTCTTGTTATCATTACCAAATTCCATACTAATTACTTAGCACTGAAAAATGATAATTGGTTCTGTATTCTGTGGTATTGGGAGGTTGGCAGGGGGTGTAACCAAAGGAGGGTGCTCAGAGGTGGGTAGTGGGAGGAGACAAGGGGTGACGCAGAAGGGGGGAGTTCCAGCACCTATTCTCAGAGAAAAAAAAGCCCTGGGAAAAAATATTATCCTGTAATGTCCTTGCTCAGGGGCGGACTGACCATTTGGAAACTCGGGCACTGCCCGAGGGCCGGGGGTCGGTAGGGGGCCCCATGAGATGCCCATGGTACCTTTTTCATAGGCTTTTTTGAGTTTGGGTAAGGACACAGGGGCCCCATGATCCCCTATTGCCCGGGGGCCCCATGAGTTGTCAGTCCGCCCCTGTCCTTGCTTAACATTGATTCTTTTCCCAACTTTCCCTGGTCTTACCGTCATAGTCTGGGAAGCAGATGCTAAGGTGAGCCTTCTTGATCTTCTCTGTGAAGACGTCCTTCTTGTTGAGGAACAGTACGATGGAGGTGGTGGCAAAGTAACGGTGGTTGCAGATACTGTTGAAAAGGTGAAGACTTTCATGCATTCGGTTCTGCAGAGAGAAGAAGACATGAGAAACATATAACCGGCCAGGGGCTACCCCTGGAAGAAGCTGAGTTTCCCCAGTTTGCTGTTTGGTGGATGAGAAACACCTTTAACAAAGAGTCACGAGACTTTGTGTTAAAGTTCCAAAAACTTTTTTCATACTGGTTATCATTAAAATACAACCAATGTTTTTGGAGGTCTAGTGCAACCCATTCTTCAAACCCCTCTAGTCATAGGTCCTACTGTTGATGTAAAATGTCCTACCTAGTACCTCTATGACTAAGACCCGGTGGGTGGTGGCTTGTGGAGTGGTGCAAGACTGAAGTCATCTTACACGTTAACCACGTAGACTAGATAGTCTTGAGCAGCAATTTAAAAGTATCCTTTTCGACTAAATTTCACATATAGTATATTCCAATGTTACCGGTGACCAGTGGGAATTAAATGTTTTTGGATTTTTAACACAAAGATCCTTTGTAAAATGCACTCCTCACACCCACCATACACCAATTTCACGAGAACCAATACCCCACCTGGTCCCTCATCAGTCTAGGTCCAACAAATGGACCCTACACCAACCTATCTTCCACACCAAGGCTCTCCAAACTTTCTAAACAAAGAACCAGTTTAATGTCCATCAGACATTACGGGGTCAGATTGTGGCCAGTGGGAATAGAGTCAGTGGGAGTAAACAATGCCTCCAGCTTGGTGGACAGTGGGAGTAAAAAAATGCATTGTGCCAGTGGTTAGTTGGAGCAATAGTGATATTGTTGGTATTGGGATAAATAGTGCTGCATGATTGGTATCAGTAGGAGGATTAGTACCCTATCATTGGTGTCAATGGGAAGAATAGTGCCCGATGATTGGTGTGAGTGGGAGAAATAGTGTCCCATCATTGGTGTCAGTGGGAGGAATAGTGCCCCATCACTGGTATCAGTGGGAGGAATAGTGCCCCATCATTGGTATCAGTGGGAGGAACAGTGCCCCATCATTGGTGTCAGTGGGAGGAATAGTGCCCCATCATTGGTATCAGTGGGAAGAATAGTGCCCCATCATTGGTGTCAGTGGGAGGAATGGTGCCCCATCATTTGTGTGAGTGGGAGGAATGGTGCCCCATCATTGGTGTGAGTGGGAGGAATGGTGCCCCATCATTGGTGTCAGTGGGAGGAATAGTGCCCTATTGTTGGTGTCAGTTTGGAGGAATAGAGATTTGTATTGGTGAGAGTAACAATGCCCAAGGGGCCAGATAGTGCAAGCAAAGGGCTGCACCTAGCCCACAGGCCGCAGTGTGGAGACCACTGTTATACAATCTTCAACTTTGGGTTCCAGCCATCTAGCATTGCCCTAGGGGATAGTCCAGTGTTTGGTGGGTACATACCCCAGGGTCACAAGTCTCTCAGGCCATTCAGGTCTACACACCAGAACGTTCCTCGATTTTCTGTGTTACTCACCACTTCATCGTCCTCCACCAGGACCATGTCGTAGGCGCTCAGTGCAGCAATGAAAATGATACAGGTGACACCTTCAAAGCAATGGATCCACTTCTTACGCTCAGATCGCTGACCTCCCACATCAAACATCCTGCAAGGAGACAACACGCCGTCTGATGACGTCAGTTGATTTCCAGGGCTAGTCCCAGGCTTTGTAAATAAAGCTGCCACTCATCAAAGATTTTGAGCTACAATGTAGAAAGTCTTTAGAATAATAAATCTGTTCTTATTTCCTTCTCATGGTATCTTGGACTTTGACATTAAGGGCTCGGGCACCTTTCTATAAGTCACATTCCAGCCTGTGGCCAATGGCTCTGGTAACAGTATGTACAGACTCCATGCAACCAAATGTTTTACCTGAAGTTGAGGTCCTTGAAGCCAAATTGTGTCTCAATGATACCGGTGGTCTTTACTCTGGACCTGAGCACATCCTGTTCGGTGGGTACATACCCTGGGGTCACAAGTCTCTCCAGGTCATTCAGGTAACTAAAAGCCAAAAAAAAAGGTCACAGGTGAGGAGGATCATCCAACCTCTCTAACTGTATACTGTGATACTCAGAGTGATATATGGAAGTGATGAAGGTGAGCATTGCCGGTTGGTTAGGCCAGGGGTCTCCAGACTTTCTTAACACAGGGCCACTTTACTGTCCTTGAGACTTTAAGGGGGGCAGACTTTGGCTATTGGGAGTAGAAAATGTTCTGACATCAGTGGGAACAGACAATGTCCCATCTTTGGTGTCAGTGGGAGGAATTGTGACCCATTGTTGGTGTCAGTGGGAGGAATTGTGCCCATTGGTGTCATTAGGAGGAATTGTGAACCGTCATTGGGAAGAACTGGAACCCATCATTGGTGTCATTGGGAGGAATTGTGACCCATTGTTGGTGTCATTGAGAGGAATTGCGCCCAATCATTGGTGTCATTGGGATGAATTGTGCCTCATCATTGGTGTCATTGGGCCCGATCATTGGTGTCATTGGGTCAAATGGCTCCCCTTTATTGGTGTCAATGGGGGAAACTATGTCCCATTGTTGGTATCAGTGGATGAAATTGTGCTCCAAGGGCCGGATAAAAGCAGGCAAAGGGCCGCATTTGGCCCGTGGGCCGCAGGTTGGAGACCGCTGGGTTAGGCTGTAAAGGGTTCACATCAGATTGCTAACATTCATGTCTGAGCCTCTGTTTCCAGGTTGCCCAGATTTCCAGGTCGCCGCCTGTTTCTAGGTTTTCGGGCGCACATACACGCACCCTCCGCAGACCTGTGCTGTGACTGGACACAGCATGAGTTTGTCAGTAGTTTTCAGCCAATGATTTTGGCTCTATACCTGCTGATTGGCTGTGGCCTATCACAGCGCAGAGTTCTGTGTGTTTACAAACACACAGAACTCTGTACACAGACAGCGATCTGGCTGTTTCTTCTCCCTGAAATCAACTCTAAATTCAGGGAGAAAAAGCAGCCAGATCTGTGAGTAATCCAGCACACATTACACTTGTTAGGCACACAGTTAACCCCTTGGCTTCCCCTGGATGGTAACCCCTTCCCAGCCAATGTCATTGATACAGTGCAGAGTATTATCACTCATCACTGAACTGTCACTAGCAATGTCAGTGACAGTTAAGCCCAGCATGCACTGACAGCGGGCTGAACGAAAAAAAAAAAAAAACAACTGAGGAGCTCGTTGTACTAACTAAGCAGTCTTAGTACATCGATCTCCTTGCTTAGCTTTTGTGTTCTGACAGGGGGACTGCCCCCCCCCACCACCACCACCACCATTGGCTGTTTTTTTTTTTCAGCATGCCCATTCAACAGACAGGCAGTATGTCGGACAGGCTGCCCAAAACACAGGCCAAATGTTTCTGTTGAACCAGCCCAGTGGCTAATACTTGGCCCATGTGTCCCAGACTTTAGTGACCCTCCCAGCCCGTGTCTGTTAGCGCCACACTATCCAGTCACACTATAAGTCGTTGATCACCGCCTTTACCGGTATAGTGTCTGTATGAAAACGTATCTGAACTCTCAGGGCCAGGAACAGGGGTGGGCAGGAGGGGCGGCTGCCCTGGGCACTGTGGTATCATGTGAGGTAGAGGAGCACCACGAGGAGATTGGGAATAGGGGATTTGTGTTGGGAGGGGGAATTTGGGGGGGGTGGCAGGGGCTAAGAATTGTTTTAAGAGGGGAAATTTAGAGAGGTGTGTTAGGAGTGGTGATTTGGGGGAGTTGGTAGGGAGGATTTGTGCTGGGATATATGGTAGGGAGGGGGAAGGGGATTTGAGTTGGTAGGGAGGATTTTTTTGAGGGGTTTGTGCTAGATAAAGGTGATATGGTAGGGAGAGGGAGGGGGATTTGTGCTGGGAGGGGGCAATTTTTTGGAGAGGGGGAATTATACTAGTATTGATAATTCAGTAGGGGGTATTTGTAATAGGAAGGGAGATGCTTTGGTAAGGGCAGGGGAGATTTTTTTCTGGGGCATATGGGGAGAGAGATTTTTGAGCTGGGGATAGGGGGCAAAAACTTGTGCTGGGGGGGGTAATTTCAGTAGGGGCTGGATTTGTATCCTGGGAGAGAACTATACGGGGAATTTATGCTTAGTAGGTGGTAAGCATCGCACATTAGTATAGATGTTAGTTTCGCAAATAGTGGGGGGGGGGAGTGTCCCCAATTTTTGAGTGACACATTATGCTCATATATATCTTTGGGGGGGATGTAATAGTATAGTGTCCCCATGTTCACCCTGGGCTCTACCCAATAGTAGTGTCCCCTAGTATAGTGTCCTCAATAGTATAGTGTCCCCAATAGTATAGTGTCCCCAATAGTATAGTGCCCGCAATAGTAGAGTGTCCCCAATAGTATAGTGTCCCCAATAGTAATGTCCCCAATAGTATAGTGTCCCCAATAGTATAATGTCCTCAATAGTATAGTGTCCTCAATAGTATAGTGTCCCCAATAGTATAGTGTCCCAATAGTATAGTGTCCCCAATAGTATAGTGTCCCCAATAGTATAGTGTGTCCCAATAGTATAGTGTCCCCAATAGTATAGTGTCCCCAATAGTATAGTGTCCTCAATAGTATAGTGCCCCCAATAGTATAGTGTCCCCAATAGTATAGTGTCCCCAATAGTATAGTGTCCCCAATAGTAGAGTGTCCCCAATAGTATAGTGTCCCCAATAGTCAATAGTATAGTGTCCTCAATAGTATAGTGTCCCCCAATAGTATAGTGTCCTCAATAGTATAGTGTCCCCAATAGTATAGTGTCTCCAATAGTATAGTGTCCCCAATAGTATAGTGTCTCCAATAGTATAGTGTCCCCAATAGTAGAGTGCCTCCAATAGTATAGTGTCCCCAATAGTAGAGTGTCTCCAATAGTAGTGCCCCAATAGTAGAGTGTCCCAATAGTATAGTGTCCCCAATAGTAGTGTCCCCAATAGTATAGTGTCCCCAATAGTATAGTGTCCTCAATAGTATAGTGTCCCCAATAGTATAGTATCCCCAATAGTAGAGTGTCCCAATAGTATAGTGTCCCCAATAGTATAGTGTCCCCAATAGTATAGTGTCCCCAATAGTAGAGTGTCCCAATAGTATAGTGTCCCCAATAGTATAGTGTCCCCAATAGTATAGTGTTCCCAATAGTATAGTGTCTCCAATAGTGTCCCCAATAGTATAGTGTACCCAATAGTAGAGTGTCCCCAATAGTATAGTGTCCCCAATAGTATAGTGTCTCCAATAGTATAGTGTCCCCAATAGTATAGTGTACCCAATAGTATAGTGTCCCCAATAGTATAGTGTCCCCAATAGTTAGTGTCCCCAATAGTGAGTGTCCCCAATAGTATAGTGTCTCCAATAGTATAGTGTCCCCAATAGTATAGTGTCCCCAATAGTATAGTGTCTCCAATAGTATAGTGTCTCCAATAGTATAGTGTCCCCAATAGTATAATGTCCTCAATAGTATAGTGTGTCCCCAATAGTATAGTGTCCCAATAGTATAGTGTCCCCAATAGTATAGTGTCCTCAATAGTATAGTGTCCCCCAATAGTATAGTGTCCTCAATAGTATATGTCCCTAATAGTAGTGTCCTCAATAGTAGAGTGTCCCAATAGTATAGTGTCCCCAATAGTATAGTGTCCCCATTAGTAGAGTGTCCTCCAATAGTAGAGTGTCCCCAATAGTATAGTGTCCCCCAATAGTATAGTGTCCCCAATAGTAGAGTGTCCTCAATAGTATAGTGTCCCCAATAGTATAGTGTGCCCAATAGTACAGTGTTCCCAATAGTATAGTGTCCCCAATAGTGTAGTGTGCCCAATAGTACAGTGTTCCCAATAGTATAGTGTCCCCAATAGTATAGTGTGCCCAATAGTACAGTGTTCCCAATAGTATAGTGTCCCCAATAGTATAGTGTTCCCAATAGTATAGTGTCCCCAATAGTGTAGTGTCCCCAATAGTATAGTGTCCCCAATAGTATAGTGTGCCCAATAGTACAGTGTTCCCAATAGTATAGTGTCCTCAATAGTATAGTGTCCCCAATAGTATAGTGTGCCCCAATAGTATAGTGTCCCCAATAGTACAGTGTTCCCAATAGTACAGTGTCCCCAATAGTATAGTCCCCAATAGTAGAGTGTCCCCAATAGTATAGTGTGCCCAATAGTACAGTGTTCCCAATAGTATAGTGTCCCCAATAGTACAGTGTTCCCAATAGTATAGTGTGCCCAATAGTATAGTGTCCCCAATAGTATAGTGTGTCCCAATAGTATAGTGTCCCCAATAGTATAGTGTGTCCCCAATAGTATATGTCCCTCAATAGTATAGTGTCCCCAATAGTATAGTGTCCCCAATAGTATAATGTCCCCAATAGTATAGTGTCCCCAATAGTATAGTGTCCCCAATAGTATAGTGTCCCCAATAGTAGAGTGTCTCCAATAGTATAGTGTCCCCAATAGTACAGTGTCCCCAATAGTATAGTGTTCCCAATAGTAGAGTGTCTCCAATAGTATAGTGTCCCCAATAGTATAGTGTACCCAATAGTAGAGTGTCCCCAATAGTATAGTGTCCCCAATAGTAGAGTGTCTCCAATAGTATAGTGTCCCCAATAGTATAGTGTACCCAATAGTATAGTGTACCCAATAGTAGAGTGTCCCCAATAGTTGAGTGTCCCCAATAGTATAGTGTCTCCAATAGTATAGTGTCCCCAATAGTATAGTGTCCTCAATAGTATAGTGTCCCAATAGTATAGTGTCCCCAATAGTATAGTGTCCCCAATAGTATAATGTCCCCAATAGTATAGTGTCCCCAATAGTATAGTGTCCTCAATAGTATAGTGTCCCCAATAGTATAGTGTCCTCAATAGTATAGTGTCCCCAATAGTATAGTGTCCCAATAGTATAGTGTCCCAATAGTATAGTGTCCCCAATAGTATAGTGTCCTCAATAGTATAGTGTCCCCAATAGTATAGTGTCCCCATTAGTAGAGTGTCTCCAATAGTATAGTGTCCCCAATAGTATAGTGTCCCCAATAGTATAGTGTCCCCAATAGTATAGTGTCCTCAATAGTATAGTGTCCCCAATAGTATAGTGTCCCCAATAGTACAGTGTTCCCAATAGTATAGTGTCCCCAATAGTGTAGTGTGCCCAATAGTATAGTGTCCCCAATAGTATAGTGTCCCCAATAGTATAGTGTGCCCAATAGTAGTGTTCCCAATAGTATAGTGTCCCCAATAGTATAGTGTTCCCAATAGTATAGTGTCCCCAATAGTGTAGTGTCCCCAATAGTATAGTGTCCCCAATAGTATAGTGTGCCCAATAGTACAGTGTTCCCAATAGTATAGTGTCCTCAATAGTATAGTGTCCCCAATAGTATAGTGTGCCCAATAGTATAGTGTGCCCAATAGTATAGTGTCCCCAATAGTACAGTGTTCCCAATAGTACAGTGTCCCCAATAGTATAGTGTCCCCAATAGTAGAGTGTCCCTAATAGTATAGTGTGCCCAATAGTATAGTGTTCCCAATAGTATAGTGTCCCCAATAGTACAGTGTTCCCAATAGTATAGTGTGCCCAATAGTATAGTGTCCCCAATAGTATAGTGCCCCCAATAGTATAGTGTCCCCAATAGTATAGTGTCCCCAATAGTATAAGTGTCCCCAATAGTATAGTGTCCCCAATAGTATAGTGTCCCCAATAGTATAAGTGTCCCCAATAGTATAGTGTCCCCAATAGTATAGTGCCCCCAATAGTATAGTGTCCCCCAATAGTATAGTGTCCTCAATAGTATAGTGTCCTCAATAGTATAGTGTCCCCAATAGTATAGTGTCCTCAATAGTATAGTGCCTGCAATAGTATAGTGTCCCCAATAGTATAGTGTCCCCAATGGTATATGTCCTCAATGGTATAGTGTCCCCAATAGTATAATGTCCTCAATAGTATAGTGTCCTCAATAGTATAGTGTCCCCAATAGTATAATGTCCTCAATAGTATAGTGTCCCCAATAGTATAGTGTGTCCTCAATAGTATAGTGTCCCCCAATAGTATAGTGTCCTCAATAGTATAGTGTCCCCAATAGTATAGTGTCCTCAATAGTATAGTGCCCCCAATAGTATAGTGCCCCCAATAGTATAGTGTCCCCAATAGTAGAGTGTCCCCAATAGTATAGTGTCCCCAATAGTAGAGTGTCCTCAATAGTATAGTGTCCCCAATAGTATAGTGCCCCCAATAGTATAGTGTCCCCAATAGTATAGTGTCTCCAATAGTATAGTGCCCCAATAGTAGAGTGTCTCCAATAGTATAATGTCCCCAATAGTATAGTGTCTCCAATAGTATAGTGTCCCCAATAGTAGAGTGTCTCCAATAGTATAGTGTCTCCAATAGTATAGTGTCCCCAATAGTATAGTGTGCCCAATAGTACAGTGTTCCCAATAGTATAGTGTCCCCAATAGTATAGTGCCCCCAATAGTATAGTGTCCCCAATAGCATAGTGCCCCCAATAGTATAGTGTCCCCAATAGTATACTGTCCACAAAACCACAGTTTGGTTGTTACCAAAGACATGTAGCAGAATACACTTAGGCCTAAATTTATGAAGAAATTTGATTTTATTGGATCTGTTTTATAACAGAAAGTAGAATTTTTTTTCACAAAATGTTCCGTCTTGTTAAAAAGAAAAAAATATATAAAACCAAGCGGTGATCAAATACCACCAAAAGAAAGCTCTATTTGTGTGAAAACAAAAATGATATAAATTCCATTTGGGTACAGTGTTGCATGACCGAGCAATTACCAGTTAAAGTAGCGTAGTGCTGACTAGCAATGCTCTGGTAGTGAAGGGGGTAAAACCTTGCAGAGGTCTAGTGGTTAAAGTAACCATAACAATAATAATATGACCTCTATGGATTATTACAAGCCAGGAATAGGGTCATTACCCCCCAAAGCTTGAAGAAGAATCTGCAGGAGGTTGCTGTGACTCCTCCTCCTATCCCTGTGAGTGTGATGGGAGTGACTTTGGGTGGGGGGCCCCGTGGAACACAGCTCACTTTGGAGGGGTGGGAGACCCCTGTCTCAGCTCCCCATATCCCTCTTATGTGTAAGTCACCCTGTGCCTGTTAGGGGTGCAGGGTGATCTGTCCTAATATTGTGTAGACATGTCTAGGTGGGGTGAGGGTTGTGGATTGTTTGGTGTTATGTGGTGCATCCCGTTGTTCTATTGTGTGTCTTTCTTGGGAGCAAACTATTATGGGATGTATGTGTTTGTATATTGGCTTGGTGGGGGGTGTCTGCTGATGTGTTTCTTGTTGCTAGATTTGGTTTGCCCTGCCCTGTGTCCTTATGCAGGGAGGGGGGGTTGTTCCCTTGAATGTATATACCTTGTGTCTGTGTTAAAATAAAGAAGTCTATTTCCTGGTTTAATACAAGACTGGTCTCGTCTAGCCTAGTATGGTCAGCGGTGGTGTCCGTGGATCTGTGTTCGGACAGAGAAGTGGGAGTCTATCGGAAATACCCAAGTGCAGTCGGGGTCCGGTTCCATTACAGTGAGCATACAGGAAGTGGGGCGAATTTCCCCAATGGGGACACAGAAACTTGACCAAGGTTGTAACCTTTTTCCGCTCCTTCCAAAACCAGCCGTTGGATTTCCAGTTTTGGGGTCCACCATCGCTGGGCAGGAAGTGAACGAATACTCTTCCCAATGGGCTCCCATTCATACCATACAACAGATAACACAATATGAGAGTTTCTTACTATCCCGCTGAGTCGTTGAGCTGATATTCAGATGCGCGGTCAAAGCACGCCTGAATGCCCGTGTCTTTCCACAGGCGCCCAATGATGTCTGACATCTCCTTGGGCATGGTGCCCTCATCAATGGTGTCTGACAGATGCAATAGCTTACGGGAATCGTCCTGGAAGAGAAGAAAGGGTCATCAGCAGGAGGATCGACACCGATTATCACAGATTATCATTACATTTGTTAAGATTTTATGTCTCCTTGTGAAAAATGTTATTACAGCACCAGCAAACAAAATGAAAATCTGGTTTCACGCCTTCTAGCATGGCCTGTAATGGGAAACAGGTGGAAGATCCTGAGACGTGTCTATAGCAGGGGCGGACTGACCATTTGGAAACGCGGGCACCGCCGAGGGCCCGGGGTCAGTATTGGGCCCCATGAGATGCCCCTGGTACCTTTTTCATAGGCTTTTTTGAGTTTGGGCAAGAACACAGGGGCCCCATGATCCCCTATTGCCCGGGGGCCCCATGAGTTGTCAGTCCGCCCCTGGTCTATAGGCATCACAGAGTGCCACTACATGAAAACCCTGCTTCATAAATGGCTTCAAGGCCAAACCCACTTCTACACCCCCCCCCCCATTGCCTGAGCAGGCTAGCCAGAGCCTGGAGCATTGTTTTGTGCTATGTGCAGCCCCAGGCTGCCGGACAACTCGTTGAATGAGCTCCTGACCACAGCTGAAGAAGAATAAAAAAAATCAGACTTCACCACCACCATTCCAGCCACACAACAATACTAAGCCCTGATGAAGGAGGAGCTGTGCACAGCCTCCGAAACGCATCGGATGCAAACTCTTGATAAGACCCTTTTGTTGTGACCAGGGGCGGACTGACCATTTGGAAACTCGGGGACTGCCTGATGGCCCGGGGTCAGTAGGGGGCCCCATGAGATGCCCCTGGTACCTTTTTCATAGGCTTTTTCGAGTTTGGGCAAGGACACAGGGGCCCCATGATCCCCTATTGCCTGGGGGCCCCATGAGTTGTCAGTCCGCCGCTGCTTGGCACCATTGGCATGGCATGACTTTTTTGGCTGTCGGTAAGGGTGAAATCCTTTCAACTGACCCCCAATGTAAGGGGAATTCTTCCCCTGATCACCAATGTAAGGGATTCTTCTGATCCAATGTAAAAGGCATTCTTCCCACTGACCCCCAATGTAAGGACATTCTTCCCACTGATCACCAATGTAAAAGGCATTCCCACTGACCCCAATGTAAGGGACATTCTTCCCACTGACCACCAATGTAAGGGACATTCTTCCCACTGACCACCAATGTAAGGGGCATTCTTCCCACTGACCACCAATGTAAGGGGCATTCTTTGACCACCAATGTAAGGGACATTCTTCCCACTGACCACCAATGTAAGGGACATTCTTCCCACTGACCCCCCAATGTAAGGACACATTCTTCCCACTGATCACCAATGTAAGGGGCATTCTTCCCACTTTTTTTAGTTTGGGCAAGGACACAGGGGCCCCATGATTCCCTATTGCCCAGGGGCCCCATGAGTTGTCATTCCAGCCCTGGTTGTGACAAGCAAAAATTGACATTTGGACCAATCCCTACGACTTGGCTCTCATACTTTTGACCTTACAAATTGAACTTCCCAGGCAGTGCCGGGACAAGGTCATGTAGCACCCGGGGCAAAGATGCCAAACGGCATCCCCCCCAACTAAAATGTATGAGCATTACATGTCAGCAAAAATCCCCTCCTTCCTCAACTCCCAAAAAAATTTGAGCACTAATCTGCATGCTTACCCCCAAGCATAAATTCCCTCCAAAATTCTTCCTCTTTCAGTAGACCTGCCAGCTTGTAGGTAGGCACTCTCCATGCATTGCCCCCCCCCCCCATCTCACTTGATACCACAGCGCCCGGGGCAGCTGTCCCTCCTGCCCACCCCTTTGTCCCTGCCCTGTTCCTAGGGACACTGCTGAGACCCCACTGGGGCCATATTCCAGCAATCATTGGACTCATTTTGAACCTTCTTCATACTTGGATTCCAGCACTTCACCATCTTAATTCCAGAATATGCAGCCCCAGGATGCCCCGCATACCTGAGAACGGGCATAGCCATCACTCTACAAGTGGCTTTTAAAGGTCACTGACTGCTAACATGGGAGATGCTCCAATACACATTCTTATCACAGAACCAAATGATGGCGTATCCTAAGAACGTTGGAAGTATCTATGGATATCGAGGTCCTCGCACCTGTCGTCCAGGGTCTCCATACTGGATGTTCAGCGTGTTCATAGCTTTCACGATGGCGAGCATGGACTGGAGGGTGTTTCCATAAATAATGGTAATAAACTCCAGACATTCTTCAAGGGAATAACCATCTTGGTGAATAATTCTAGAATTAATAGAAGAAATGAACATTGAACATCTTGCATGATGTACATAACATGAAAAGATACAAGGCGGTATCAAAAAGTAGGGGAGACTAGTTTTGTAACACACCAACAGATGGCAGCAGAAGGCTGGATGCACAGCCACAGGGAGTACTGACCTTCAGAAGTCAGTGTGCCAAAAGACATCGTCCTGTGTATATCGGGAGCTGTGCAATTGGTGCTATTCTGACCGGGGTGCATTAGAACAAAGAGCAAATGTGAAATTCTGGAGAAAAACTGTAAAAATCTGCCACAGAGACGTTTGACATGATTCGTCAAGTTTACGGCGATGCTGCAATGAGTCGTTTGAGGTTTTTTTGAGTGGCACGTGCGTTTCAAGAACAGAAGAACATCGCTGGAAGAAGACGAGAGATCAGGAAGACTTCAAATGAGCTCAATCCCCGAAAAAAATGCCCTCTTCCCGAAGATGAAGATCCAGCTGAAAGGTTGACGTTTTGACAACATTGTGGAGATCCAGCGTTTTGCCCGGTTTCACGCAGAATTTTACGTTCGCTCTTTGTTCTAACTTGCTGTCCTTGATGAAATAGCAGAGGTGCATGCACAAGGTCAGAATAGCACCAGTTGCACAGCTCCCAATGTACACAGGACGGTGTCTTTTGGCACACTGACTTATGAAGGTCGGTGCTCCCTGTGACGGTGCGTGCAGCCTTGTGCTGCCATCTGTTGGCGTGTTTCAAAACTAGTATTGAAACTTTTTGATACCATCTCCTAATTAATGACAAGTCTACTTTAACCACCTCCCATCCGGCCGTTGTATAAAATGGCCGGACGGTGGCAGTGCAGGGTCAGGTGGCCATTTATAAACGGCCTCCCCGCCCCCTGCTTGTGCGTGCTCCCTGGGAGCACGCAGCACCGCGATCCAGGGCCCGCTGTGTCCTCCGGACACAGTGGAACACCGATCGTCGAACGGGACCTCTGTGCGAGGTCCAGATCATGTGATCACTGATTGGCCAATCAGTGATCACATGCAGAGTAATAAGCAACATTGCTTACTGCGTGTGAAATCTGTGAATGATCACAGAGGTCACATGGTACAGGGCTATTCACAACAGCCTTGTACCATGTGACAAGCTGTGACCAATCACAGCTCACAGAGTAGTTCACAATGGCTGCAAGAATGCAGCCAGAGAGAAGGAGAAATGGGTGTAAAAGCAATCGGTGTAAAAAAAAAAAATCTTCATCCCCCCACAAGTACTACAGTGTCACCATGGTACTGCTAGGGTGACGGTATGTAAAAAAAAAACAAACAAAGAAACCCCATAAATAATAATATATAAAAAAAAAAAATTGTAAAATTTTTTTACAAATTATAATTTTTGGAAATAAACTGATTTGGGTTTTTTTTTTTTACTAAAAAGATAACGGAATAAATTTTGTCCAAGATTTATGATGAAATATTATTTATTAGCAAAATTTTATCAGAAAAACACTTTTTTTCAACATTTTTGGACCATATCATTTACATAGCAAAAAAAAATAAAAATCCCAGCGGAGAATAAATACCACCAAAATAAAGCTTTATCTGTCTCAAAAAATGCTAAAAAATTCATATGGGTACAGTGTTGCATGACCGCGCAATTGTCATTCAAAGTGTGACAGCGCTGAAAGCTGAAAATTGGCCTGGACAGGAAGGGGGGGAAAGTGTCCGGACTGGAAGGGGGGGAAAGTGTCCGGACTGGAAGGGGAGGGAAAGTGTCCGGACTGGAAGGGGGGGGAAAGTGTCCGGACTGGAAGGGGGTGAAAGTGTCCAGACTGGAAGGGGGGAAAAGTGTCCGGACTGGAAGGGGGGGGGGGGAAGCGTCCGGACTGGAAGGGGGGGAAAGCGTCCGGACTGGAAGAGGGTGAAAGTGTCTGGACTGGAAGGGGGGGGGAAAGTGTCCAGACTGGAAGGGGGGGGGGGAAAGTGTCCGGACTGGAAGGGGGTGAAAGTGTCCAGACTGGAAGGGGGTGAAAGTGTCCGGACTGGAAGGGGGGGGAAAGTGTCCGGACTGGAAGGGGGGGAAAGTGTCCGGACTGGAAGGGGGGGAAAGTGTCCAGACCGGAAGGGGGGGAAAGTGTCCGAACTGGAAGGGGGTGAAAGCGTCCGGACTGGAAGGGGGGTGAAAGTGTCCGGACTGGAAGGGGGGGGAAAGTGTCCGGACTGGAAGGGGGGGAAAGTGCCCGGACTGGAAGGGCGGGGGAAGTGTCCGGACTGGAAGGGGGGGAAAGTGTCCGGACTGGAAGGGGGTTAAAGCGTCTGGACTGGAAGGGGGGGGAAGTGTCCGGACTGGAAGGGGGGGAAAGTGTCCGGACTGGAAGGGGGGGAAAGTGTCCAGACTGAAAGGGGGTGAAAGTGTCCGGACTGGAAGGGGGGGGAAAGTGTCCGGACTGGAAGGGGGGGAAAGTGTCCGACTGAAAGGGGGTGAAAGTGTCCGGACTGGAAGGGGGTGAAAGCGTTTGGACTGGAAGAGGGTGAAAGCGTCCCGAACTGGAGAAGGGGGGGAAAGTGTCCGGACTGGAAGGGGGGGGGAGTGTCCGGACTGAAAGGGGGGGAAAGTGTCCGGACTGGAAGGGGGGGGAAAGTGTCCGGACTGGAAGGGGGGGGGGGGGAAGTGTCCGGACTGGAAGGGGGGGAAAGTGTCCGGACTGGAAGGGGGGGGGGGGGGGGGAAGTGTCCGGACTGAAAGGGGGGGAAAGTGTCCGGACTGGAAGGGGGGTGAAAGTGTCCGAACTGGAAGGGGGGGAAAGTGTCCAGACTGGAAGGGGGGGGGGGGAAGTGTCCGGACTGGAAGGGGGGGGGGAAAGTGTCTGGACTGGAAGGGGGGTGAATTGCAAGAGGTCAGATTGGTTGGAGAGAGAATATATATATATACCATAAGGACTACCAAAGAGCTGAAATATGTAAACAGTAAACTTACTTCATCTGCTTTACAATGGTGCTCTTTCCGGACTCACCAGCTCCTGTAAACGCACAGAATATTGATAACGGTCAGCTATATCTTTCAATGATTCCATACAAATAATACATAACATTTTTTAATATTTACATTTTATATTTCTGTATGATTTATATGAATTCTGAAAGGAGAATGTGTCAATACATGTGATGTGGATCTGCATACATTATCCTCATCCTCATCCTGATGGACGCAGGAACATACAAGAAGTATTGTACATGGTATGGTGGCCATCCGTCCCTGTTTGCCAGGAGGTGTCCCCATTTTCGGGGATCTGTCCCCTGCCAGTAAACATCCCCAGTGATGTCCCCAGAGGTGTAGTCTTCCCCCAGCTTGGATTGCTGGCTTGCAATTTTAAAGATGATGCCATTAGAATTGCAGGTGCCACCCCAATATGGTGCAACAGGGGCCAGTTGTGGCCGATTGGCAATTGTCTCCTGGCTAATGCTTTCCACTTTTGACCAAATGCTGTTCCTATAAAGTCTTGGATCTCCCACAACTCATATATTTGGTTCACATTATTTCAGTTTCCAGTATAGGCAACATCTCCAAGTTCCAACCACATGTACAGCACGGGCTTTAAATACATTTGTAGGGAAAATCCTCAACTGATCCGGATTTTGGACGGAATGATGTTCCTCACCGAGACATTTTCAGTTGAATTGGGTTTCAAGTTTTAGTACTCATCAAGATCCCATGATAAAGGGGGGAGGGCGGCGTATCTGGATTTATTTAAACAAAATCTGAATATACTTATCTCTTAGTATTGATCCGATGCCTGCTGACCCATATGGGTACTATATATCCAGAAAGGTATTCTGCACACAAATAAGTATTTGGCATTTTGCACAGCAGAGTAGGGAATGGCCAGAGAGGGATCACTTTGATGTAGTTGGCTAAAGAGGGATCCCTCTGACACATTTAGCCAGAGAGGGATCAATTTGAAGCCATTGGCCAGAAAGGAATCACTTTGACACAGTTGGACACAGAGGCATCACGTTGATGCTGTTGGTCAGATAGGGATCACTTTGACACAGTTGGCCAGATAGGGATCACTTTAACACAGTTGGCCAGATAGGGATCACTTTAACACAGTTGGCCAGATAGGGATCACTTTGACACAGTTGGCCAGATAGGGATCACTTTGACACAGTTGGGCAGAGGGTGATCACTTTGATGCAGTTGTATAAAAATAAATCACTTTTACACAGTTAACTAGAGTGGGATCACTTTGAAACAATAGGCCAGATAGGGATCACTGTGACACAGTTGGCCAGAGAGGGATCACTGTGACACAGTTGGGCAGAGGGTGATCACTTTGATACAGTTGACTAGAGTGGGATCACTTTGACACAATAGGCCAGATAGGGATCACTGTGACACAGTTGGCCAGAGAGGGATCACTTTGACACAGTTGACTAGAGTGGGATCAATGACACAATAGGCCAGAAAGGGATCACTTTGACACAGTTGGCCACAGAGGGATCACTTTGATGCAGTTGATCAGAAAGAGATCACTTTGACACAACTTACTAGAGTGGGATCACTTTGCTACAGTTAGCGAAAGAAGGTTCACTTTAACACATTTAGCCAGAGAGTGATCACTTTGGCACAATAGGCCAGATGGGGATCACTTCGACACAGTTGGGCAGAGGGTGATCACTTTGACACATTTGGCTGGGGGGGGGGGGGGATCACTTTGATGCAGTTGGCCAAATAGGGATTGCTTTGACACAGTTGGTAAAAGAGGGATCATTTTGACACAGTTAACCATATAGGGATCACTTTGACACATTTAGCTAGAGAGGAATCACTTTGAAGCCATTGTTCAGAGATAGATTACTTTGAAGCCATTGGCCAAAGAGGAATCACTCTGATGCCATTGGCCAGGGGGGGAATCACTTAGACACAGCTAGTCAGAGAGGGATCACTTTGACACGGTTGGTAAGAGAGAGAGACTACTTTGATGGAGTTGGCCAGATAGGGGTTCACTTTACTCAGTAGGCTAGAGAGGGATCATTTTGATGCATTCGACATCTGTGAACCAAGAATTCTTGTTATGGGCAAATGCTTGCTAGAAAGGCTGTATATCAGTGTGCAGAGAAGGGGGACTGACCATACGGAAACTCGGGCACTGCCCAAGGGCCCGGGGTCAGTAAGGGACCCCATGAGATGCCCCTGGTACCTTTCATAGGCTCTTTTGGGTGTGGTTTGAGTGTGGGCGAGGACACAGGGGCCCCATGATCCCCTATTACCCAGGGCCCCCATGAGTTGTCAGTCCACCCCTGGTGCAGAGGGTTACACAGGTCTAAGTCTGCACATGTGGTTGTACCCATTTAATACTTCAATATATATATCTATATATCAATATATAAGCTCTTTGGATCTGAGCACAGATCTCCACTTCTATAGACCGTGGATGTACCAGAGACAATGGAGGGATCTATTTCTTGCATAAAATTAAAAGTTTGCTGGTATGCACCTTTGTATGATAGATGGTATCCGACATATTTTCCGTTGGGCACCCGTGCCCTCAAATAGTTGTTTCTGTTGTGTTTATAAATAGCGGACTTTAGGAATAGCCTACTAAAAGTTCAACATTTAAAAAGCTGTGTTCCTCAGAATGGATCATACACAATAACTGTAATATCTGAGAGCATATATCACTCATACTTTACATAGTAAGTTGTGTCCAGTTGGGATTAGGCCCCTGACCTTCTACTCAAGGTGTTCCCTCTAAGCTTCTCCTCCCAAGGGCAGAGCAGGTTTAATGAGATAGAGGAGTTATAGCTGGATCAGCATATTCATCTCCCAGAACTGGTAATGTCCCTTCAGGCTGTTGGCCGGAGTTAGGTATTGTGTATAAGTATATCAATGTAAAACTCAACAGTGAAGGATACTGACACACTCAACTTCCACTTGTGTGTGATGCTGTCCACACACGTTACAACAGGTATTCTCAACCAGGGTTCCTCAAGAGGTTTCTTGAGGTTCCATGAGCTGTGGTTGCTTGATCTCCAATATGCCTGGATAGTTCTGGGGTCATCACCACTTAGCAGCATTGGCATGGCATGATATGTTTGGCTGTCAGTAAGGGTGACATCATTTCCACTGACCACCAATGCAAGGGCATTCTTCCCACTGACCACCAATGCAAGGGCATTCTTCCCACTGATCACCAATGTAAGGGGCATTCTTCCTACTGACCACCAATGTAAGGGGCATTCTCCCCACTGACCACCAATGTAAGGGGCATTCTTCTCACTGATCCCCAATGTAAGGGGCATTCTTCCCACTGACCACCAATGTAAGGGACATTCTTCCCACTGACCACCAATGTAAGGGACATTCTTCCCACTGACCCCCAATGTAAGGGACATTCTTCCCACTGATCACCAATGTAAGGGGCATTTCCTCCACTGACCCCAATGTAAGGGGACATTCCTCTCACTGACCCCCAATGTAAGGGGCATTCTTCCCACTGACCCCCAATGTAAGGGGCATTCTTCCCACTGATCACCAATGTAAGGGACATTCTTCCCACTGACCCCCAATGTAAGGGGCATTCCTCTCACTGACCCCCAATGTAAGGGGCATTCTTCCAACTGACCACCAAGGAAGGGGCATTCCTTTCACTGACCCTTAATGTAAGGGGCATTCTTCCCACTGACCCCCAAAGTAAGGAACATTTTTCCCACTGATCCCCAATGTAAGGGGCATTCTTCCCACTGATCCCCAATGCAAGGGGCATTCTTCCCACTGACCCCCAATGTAAGGGGCATTCTTCCCACTGACTACCAATGTAAGGGGCATTCTTCCCACTGACCCCAATGTAGGGGACATCTTCCCTCCGGCCAACTTTGTAAGGGGCATCTTCTTCCCACTAGGGGACCACCAATGTAAGGGACATTCTTCCCATTCTTCCCAGTGAATCGGAATGATCACCAATGTAAGGGGCATTCTTCCCACTGACCCCCAATGTAGGGGACATTCTTCCCTCCGGCCAACTATGTAAGGGGCATACTCATTACCTATGATAGTCAACTCACCTATGATAGTCATCACCATCTAGTGGCCACAAAGCCTATATCTCCCATTCACACATTCGATCTGCAGAGAATATAGCCTGAGGACATTCAATTTTGCCCCATTGCACAAAACAAATTAACAGGTTCAACAGATGAACAGCTATGCAAAATTAGTTTCTTTCTTTATAAATACACCCCCTAATGTGCATATTTGTTGGAGTGTTTTTCTTATAAAAGAATATAAGTCACTTAGCACTCTCATAGCTACATTAGCCATTGTGAGCCAAGAAGACAATTGACCCTTGGGCCGGAAGCGGGTGGGGGTGTAGCTGAAATAACAGCAGACGGTAACGATGGCGGATTTATGGACGAAGAGAGAAACAGACTCACAGTTGGGAGTTTCGATATCTAGATTTTAGACATTTATAAAATGAATAGATAAACTTGCTAATTGAATTTATTAATTTTGATAAATGTCTAAAATCTTCTAGAAATCGAAACTTCCAACTGTGAGTCTGTTTCTGTCTTCGTCCATAAATCCGCCATCGTTACCGTCTGCTGTTGTTTCAGTTACCAAATGGCATTACCATTAATACTATCAGATTACCGTCCTCAAGGTGCCAGTTCCCTGACACTGAAATGGAGGAGATGTGTCTGCCCTTAATCTGTTTGTAAACCTTCGAGGGATTAACGTCCTAACTCAAATCTCAGACCGACTACAGGAGACATTGCTGCATTTTCTATTAGGTGATGCAGTGAAAGTGTCAGGCTGGAAATATCCGTCTGCTTTTTTTTTTTTTTTTTTTTCAAGGTTCTAAATGCTGATTTTTATTTAGAAGCAAAGAACAAAAAAATCCTTTTGCCGTAGATATGCTGCTAATTTCTTGAAGGACTCAATAATTGTGCTGCTTGACTCAACATCGTCCCCTTCAAGGATAAGTACTGCTAAAGTGTACATGAACATGGCCTCTCAGGGGAGCTGCTGGCGATAGTAACCTCATGGCGGGTTCACATGGGTCCTACAGGCTGTTGGTAGGTCCATCCTTTCCAAAAAAAAAAAGGGGCTAGTTGGGCTCTTTCATTGCACCGCTTCCCCTTGGGATGACCCTACTGGATGACCTACCCTACAGCAGCACAGGCGATGTATTTCCTCAAAGCACAAGCCAATATTTACATGGTATGCTGGGGCAGGAGGGTCCTATGTGTAACCAACAATGGGCTCCCTGCCTCTCCAACAGGGGCGGACTGACCATTTAGAAACTCGGGCACTGCCCGAGGGCACTGGGTCAGTAGGGGGCCCCATGAGATGCCCCTGGTACCTTTTTCATAGGCTTTTTTGAGTTTGGGCAAGGACACAGGGGCTCCATGATCCCCTATTGCCCAGGGGCCCCATGAGTTGTCAGTCTGCCCCTGCTCTCCAACCCCCACTCAGCCCTCCAGGGATACATAATATTTACATCAACCTTTAGAGACTCCCCAACTATATACAGTTCTATTTACCCAAATGTTTCAACTACCTTCACAAATCATTGGGATAAAGGGGGCCCCATAGTAGCTGCATGGTTTGCTATTGCTACATACACATGAAGAACTTAAAGCGGGCCCCATAGTAGTTGCATGGTTTGTCATTGCTACATATATACCAAAAAAAACATACGGTGGGTCCCATAGTAGTTGCATGGTCTGCCATTGGTACATACACACCAGGAACATAAGGAGGACCCCACAGGAGAGGCCTGGTTTGTCATTGCTATATACACACAAAAAACATTAAGAGGGTCGCATAGTAGTTGTATGTTCTGCAATTGCTATATGCACAAAGATTAAATAGGGGCCCATATTGTAGTTGCAAGGTCTGCCATTGCTACACACAGAAAGAACATAAGGTGGGCTCCATAATAGTTGGATGGTCTGCCATTAGTACATACACAAATAATGGGGGCCCTGTAGTAGTTGCATTGTCTGCCATTGCTACACGCACAAAGAACATAAGGTGGGCTCCATAATAGTTGCATGGTCTGCCATTAGTACATACACAAAGAATGGGGGCCCTGTAGTAGTTGCATGGTCCGCCATTGCTATATACACAAAGAACATAATGGGGGCCCCATGGTAGTTGCATGGTCTGCCATTGCTACATGCACAAATAACATAAGTTGGGCTCCATAATAGTTGCATGGTCTGCAATTGCTACATGCACAAAGAACATAATGGGGGCCCCATAGTAGTTGCATGGTCTGCCATTGCTATATACACAAAGAACATAATGGGGGCCCCATAGTACGGTAGTTGCATGGTCTGCCATTGCTACATGCACAAAAAACATAATGGGGGCCCTGTAGTAGTTGCATGGTCTGTCATTGCTATATACGCAAAGAACATAATGGGGGCCCTATAGTAGTTGCATGGTCTGCCATTGCTACATGCACAAAAAACATAATGGGGGCCCTGTAGTAGTTGCATGTCTGTCTGTCATTGCCCTATATAGTTGCACGCAAGCACAAAGAACATAATGGGGGCCCTATAGTAGTTGCATGGTCTGCCATTGCTACAAGCACAAAGAACATAACGGGGGCCCCATAGCAGTTGCATGCCTTGCCATTGACACACAGAGAACCGTGCCAACCTATTCTGATAACCTGGACTATTTCCTACATGCAGAAATCTTCTATAATTAGAATAAGTTGTTTTTCAGAATTGTGTTTATGTGGATCTATGAAATCTTCAGTGAAAGGGAGATAATTATAACCATTATCATCCAACCAGGTTTTATCTTTCCGTGAGCTGCAATAAAAGTGGAATTTGATTGGCTGGGTCTGCAGTTTCTGTTTCTTTCCTTATCACCATTGACCATAAAATGGCTGCGCTTTTTGAATTATATTGAGTTACATTGAAATCCTTTTGAATGACTGGTTGTGGTTACAACACACGAGTGAACCTTCGCCAACTCAATCTCACTAACTTTTCTTTTACCGGAATGATATAGTTGTTTTATAGATTATTTTTATCCCGTTTTCTTGGTCTATGTGGTCAATGCCGTCTATATTGATGATAATAATATTTGGCCCTGGGTTTGTTTGGGATCTCCTGTATCGATCTTTCCCAATATTTCCTTCATTATCATCCAATTCCATGTCTTACCCAGTAGGAGCAGTTTGACAGTCCTGGCGTCCTTCTCGGCATCTTCCTTCAGTTTCTTCTCTAGTTCTCGGGAATGCTTTTCCTCGGCGCTGGCCCCAGCTCCCATCTTCCTGTATCCCAAAGGGGGGGAGTACGACGCACCAGGGACTTTCCTCCGGATAAAGATGGGCAGCCCTCCTTAAGGGGACGGGAGTCGCAGTTAGCGAACTGCCTGTCTGACTACCACTAGGGCTACCGGAGGAATGAATCCTGCCCTTCTCCCAAATCTCATCTTCTCTAATTCCCACCAGGATTTTACAGCCACAGGTGGTCACATGACCCTGTCTGGCCTATGGGAGCCAAGGACAGGTAAGGGGGCTCGATAAGGTGTGGGTGTTGCTGAGCTCAGCTGAAGTGTCTAACCCGGACAGATAGATATCCTGATCCAGCGAAGAGGTTTATCTTAATACTCTGTATACGCTGAGTCCAGGAGACTTACACTGAGCCATCTGCACCCTGCACTCACCAACGCCTCCGAAAAAACTGACATAAGGAAGACAGGAAAACATCTCATTCCAAGGCTGATCTACCTTGGAGAATGTTCACATCCATCACCCAATCATGTGCAAGACAAATTTCTCTTTCTTTAATTTCTATTGCACATGATAGGGAACTCCAAGTGAACGCAGATTCTCCGTATTTACTAAGCTAAGCAGACATTCCCTATCTTTCTAGAAACTCAATCCCGACGTGTTCCAACATGGTGAAATGTTCTGATGTATACTGATAGGATATGTTTCCTGATTTGCAAAGTAGTCTCACTTTTCGAACAAAAGCTATTACCTTGTAAAAGTAGCAGTGACAGTGTAGCAGAGGGCCCATTTACGCACTATGTTCTCAGATGCAGAAGCAGAAGCAGGCCCCTCAAACGCATTTTCCTACAACTCTCCAGGTTCCTGGGCATGTCCAGGGAACATACATTTCTCAGCTTCCCTCAGAGGGGCCACAACTGATGAGGCAGAGGTAGCTGGACAAGTGGCTTGTGACCAGGTGAGAGACCCTCCACTGTCAGAACTGGTGTGTGAGGAGTCGGGCCAGAGTCTAAAGTTATGCAATGTCTCCAGAAGACCTCGACCTCTCCAAAAGACCTCAACCTCTCCAGAAGACCTCAACCTCTCCAGAAGTCCTCAACTTCTCCAGAAGACCTCATCCTCTCCAGAAGTCCTCAACTTCTCCAGAAGACCTCAACCTCTCCAGAAGTCCTCAACTTCTCCAGAAGACCTCATGCTTTCCAGAAGTCCTCAACCTCTCCAGAAGACCTCAACTTTTCCAGAAGACATCCCCAATGGCTGCCAAAGTACTGCAGTTCCTCAGGCCTGGGATTCCTCCAGCTGTTACCTGTGTTACCTTGGACATCACTGAGAGGGGTGCTGTTGAAGGGGATCAGCACAAGTAATTGCTTGTCTTTTGAACTTTAGGGATCTGTTGTTAGAGTCTTAGAGTGGCTATGCTAAGCAGCCATGTTACTCTGAGAGACGTTACTGTGAAGATTCCATGCTTGTGCAACTTTCATAATCTGTTTTGTGTGTAGCATCCTCTAGAGGTGCTAGAGAGGTAAATTTAGCTTGGCTCAGAGAAGTTGCTGAAGTGAGCATGTCTGTGGCGGTCAAGCTGAGGTCAGGCTGGAGGGCTCTACAGGTCTGGTTTCTATCGCCTCCCTCTGGTTCTGGAGGTCCATGGAAGCTTCTAGAAACTAGTGGGCGGAGGGGTGGAGACTAAGATCTGCATATTCATGGCAATTTAACCAATCCCAAGGCAGGAGGCCTGGCAGTGTGGCTGATGGTCCTATATATACAGTACATGAGAGAACAGAGCTTTTTTCTTCAGTGGGAATGTGGGGGAATGCAGCACTAAATGTATGCAAAGGCTAGGGTACTGGGGTGTGCTGGAGGGTCTACTGATGCTGGCTAGTGTTGGGCTCTATGTTCGAGTCGAACATAGACCGTTCGAGTGTTTTCTGAACATACGAACGGTATGGGTGTTTGGCGGGCTGGTCACCCGCCGCGCCCTACAATGCGTTGCGCCCTGAGAATGCATTGTAATTGGTCAAAGCAGTGCACCTGACCACAGGTCAGGTGCAATGTTTTAGCCAATCGCAGTACAGGATGACATCACAAGGGTGCGGGTCATCAGGGTACAGCTGTTAGACGGCCAGGAGCCAGCGTCGTGAGCAGAACAGGGTTTTTATTCCCTTTTTGTGAATTGCCAGAAGCGGCGGAGGGCATCGTGATTGGTGATGGATCTACTTCGGGGGACATTTTTTTTAACTTTTATTTTTAATAAAGGACTTGTCTGTAGGACTTCTATAGGTTCGATTGTTCGACCACGAACCAAACGGGAGTGTTTGGCCCATCACTAATGCTGACTGCTAGGGGATCTGAGGGGATCGGGGTCTATGGTTACACAAGGTCTATTGTTTCTGGTGGGGGATTTATTGTTGCTGGGTGGATGGGGGGGATTTCTACTGCTGAGGAAGGATTCGACAGATGCTGGCTGCTGGGAGATCTATTGTTTCTGGCAGGGATTTATTGGTGTTGGGGTGGATTTATTGTTGTGGGGGGGTCTAATTTTTCTGGGGGGTTCTATTTTTATTGGCTGCAGGTGATCTATTTTACTGCTTTTCTTGTTCTCATTAACACATTCCATACAAATGACTTAGCAACAAAAAATGATATGTGGTCCTGTATCCTCTAAATGGGCCATACTGTGAGGTGGGTGGGGGGGGGGGGGGGGGGGTGAAACAAGGGACAGTTCTGGGTAGGGGGTGGAGACAAGGGGTGACTCGGAAGGGGGGGAGTACCTGCACCTATTCTCTGAGAAAAATAGTGACCCGTGAGAGAGTCTAGCTAGCAAGGGGAGTCTGGCGATCAGGTGGAAGAAGGAGGGTTGAGGTTCATAAAGCTTGGGGGGGGACCCCGGGGGAGGGGGGCTCTGCCTCCAGGCTGCAGATGAGAAGGAAGGAGAAGAAGCTAGAAAGAGGGAACTTCACTACAAGTCCTACCCAGGAGGCACCCTGCCCAGCATGGGACGACTAGTCCAAATCAGCAGGATACGAGGGACAGAGTGAGGACCTCTACACCCCCAGGGCCTAAGGGAGAAGGCTGCCAGATGCAATATCCAGCATGCTTTCATGGGGACGGTGTCACCGCCAACCTAATCCCTTGCCCTGGGACACTTATCCAAAGCAGCCAGGAGGGTTGGCATTTTCTCAGCCAAATACTGGGACTTTGTGAGAGCTCACACAAGGGACCTAGTGTTCCTTAAAGTAAACTCTGCTACTGATCCTTGAAGGGACTGATACCGCTCCGGGATCCATTTTTTGTATATAAACGCAGGAAGTTTGTCCTCAATCTGTTTTTTTTTTTCAAGTCGGGCATCCCATAATGCCTAATCCCTATCCAAGCTGTTTTCCCCTAAACAAAACAACAACGAAAAAGTCCATGGACTGAATTCTTGACTATGAGTGTTTGCAGAAAATGCATGTTGCCTGGCTATGCAGGAAAAAGGGGGACCCCAAATTCAGCGGCTCCTTAGGGGGTGGCGCTCCATGCATTATTCTGCAGTATATGCACGCTCTTTGCCACTCTGACCCTATTTTGCATTACTGATTCAAATGCTGGCCGTACACACTTAGATTTTTCCAACAAGTATAACAGATTCCTCCATCCACACTTTACGGCACGGGTGGGTTAACCTTCAGCTGAGTCTATTGTATTCTGACAACCAGACCAGCATGTAGTCAGGTGCAGTCTGTATTCTCCACTGCAGGTGGCGCTTGACTGCAGTGGCAATATAAGTGGAGGAGGAGGTTTAGGGGAACCTAGTTCCTCTATGGCCTCCTTGGTCATGCTTGGATGCTGGCGCCATATGTGACTTTGACGGCCATCTTGGGTCAGGCAGAGCCTATTTAAGACTGGCTGGACTCTCAACAGGATGGCCAGGGAGGGAGGCAGCCCTCCTGGCTGGGAACCCCTCCTCTTGTCCTCAGGGATGGTACTGTCTATTGTACTGCAGAGTAGTGTTTTCAATAATTTGGAAGGTCGTAATGTTCAGGACCCTGACCATCCCTGTAGAAAAAGAGAATCCAGGTAGATGCTGGACACGGGGGTGTCCACAAATTACTTTGGGAAATCTCCCCATTGTGGGAGGGCAGAGACACAAACCACTGTGGGAAATCTCCTCATTGTGGGAGGGGCAGAGACACAAACCACTGTGGGAAATCTCCTCATTGTGGGAGGGCAGAGACACAAACCACTGTGGGTAATCTCCCCATTGTGGGGGGGCAGAGACACAAACCACTGTGGGAAATCTCTCATTGTGGGAGGGGCAGAGACACAAACTACTGCAGGAAAATCTCCCCATTGTGGGAGGGGCAGAAACACAACTACTGGGGGAAATCTCATTGTGGGAGGGGCAGAGACACAAACTACTGCAGGAAAATCTCCCCATTGTGGGAGGGGCAGAAACACAACTACTGGGGGAAATCTCATTGTGGGAGGGGCAGAGACACAAACTACTGGGGGAAATCTCCCCATTGTGGGAGGGGCAGAGACACAAACTACTGGGGAGAATGTCTTCATTGTGGGAGTGGGGGAGAGACACAAACTACTGGGGGAAATATCCCCATTGTGGGAGGGGCAGAGACACAAACTACTACAGGAAATCTCCCCATTGTGGGAGGGGCAGTGACAGAAACCACTGTGGGAAATCTCCTCATTGTGGGAGGGGCAGAGACACAAACTACTGGGGGGGGGGGGGGAATGTCTTCATTGTGGGAGTGGGGGAGAGACACAAACTACTGGGGGAAATCTCCCCATTGTGGGAGGGGCAGAGACACAAACTACTGGGGGAAATCTCCCCATTGTGGGAGGGGCAGAGACACAAACTACTGGGGGAAATCTCCCCATTGTGGGAGGGGCAGAGACACCCTTGTATAAATCGAGGAGAATACTTTCATAGATCTCACTTCAGGAGCCATAGACACATCAGGTCAGAGGAGTACTGTAATTAACCAGTTCGTCACTAGATGGCAGCAAAACACCACTTTTCTGTGCTTTCCTAGGTTGT